AGCAGGGAGCGACTTCCTGCCTGGAGACGAAGCAGCCACAACAAGTGGTGGCCGTTGATCTGATGCGCTCGTGGCCCCTCTGGGCCTCTTCGTCCGGGCCCTGCTGGCCCCTCCCTCGCGGCGCGCGGAAGTCCGAGATCCGCGCTCCGGCAGCAGCGCGGCCGCGTTCTGTGCGCCCCGCTCCTCCCGGAGAAGGTACCCATCTTCGCCGGCAGGACCTGCCGAGGAGCCGAACCATGCACGGGCAGCAGTCGGAGGTTTGTGCGGGCTCTCGAGTCGGCGCTGGCTCCCCCTCCCCACACCTCCAGGCAGCGTCTCCGGTGCCGCACCGTGCGCGCCAGGCGCTCCGGGAAGGGTGTGTGTGGGGGGGGGGGGATTTCATGTATGTCCGTGTTTCTTCCCTGCTCCGTGGCTGTAGGCGTTCGTGCATTGGCCGCCCCGTCTCCAGAAACCTCGCCGCACAGGGAGCAGGGGGAGCAGCAACAGCCGCTTGTCGCGGTCCGTGGTCTCGAGCGCCTGCCAGGCGGCCCCCGGCATGTTCGCACCAGGATGCGGGCGCGGGCAGCAGGCAGGTCCTCGTCATCGAGCCTTGCTGTGCGGCACCGCGCGCTCTGCGGCGGCTCTTCATGCTCATCTTGATCCTCCCCCTCGTCTTCGAACTTCAAGGTTATCGGGCGTGTCCCTCTACCGGAGGAAGTTTCAAAAATATTCAAAAAATTGTCATGGGACGATTTGTTTAGAATATGTTTTGTATCAAATTATGTTCTGATTATTTTCAATTCTTCCTCCAAAATCAGCCTGTAGGGGGGCATGCCCGACCTAATTCCAAGATGACCGTACCAAGCTGTGACTTTTTGTTGCTATCGTGGCCGCCACGAGCAGCCAACCTTTCGCAGGTCGGAGCAACTCGGGCTCCCCTGTCTCTAGTGCCCACACACGCGCTCACTCACCGAACGCGATGGTGTCATCGACGGTGGAAGTGAATTGTGCAATGGATGCGTTGTTGAGCGCATTGGGCAGCTAAACACCACAGTCCATGATTGTTTGGGCATCTGCGTTCAGCAGAGCAAAACTGAACGGGCGATCGTGATGCCACCGCTCGCAACCATAATGGCAAGGACCCTGGCGTCTTACAATGTCAAGTTGTTCATTTGTGTCTCTCTCTCTCTCTCTCTCTGTCTCTCTCCTCTCTATCTCGCTCTTTCTCTCCCCCTCTTCCAGACGTATGAGCATACTATGGATAGAGTATCCTTCTTTTGTATCGAGGCGTGCTGGCATCAAGCAACTCCTTGTTCATCCACGACTTTGAATGCAATTATTGTTTACCACCTCTCGTCGCAGTCTGCCGGGTATGCCCGACATCGCGGTCTCGTACTTAGCCGTCAGGCCAGCACTCCGTGTGCAAGTAGGTCGGTTGTTCGAGGAACCCCAGCTTGCAGTCCGAAGTTGGATGAGCGACGGAGAAAAGCGGGGAAGAATGCGCCGACATTCGCGCGTACGGTTCTCGCGTAAGGTCTCGCGTAAGCACCCTCGTTTCCGAGGTGGGCCCGCGTAAGCCACCGCGCAAGGTCGCTATGTCAACGCAGGGATGGACCTAAACGTTGTTCTGCTGGACTTCGGCCGTGTTCTGTTGTTCGTTTTGGCGGGGAGGTACAGGACAACAGGCAGAGCAAAGCGAAAAACAGCACGAAAACAACACGAAAAACAACGTTCAGATGGTCGTTTCTTTCTTAGTTGTTTTGCCGATCGGCGCGGCCCCATGGAGTAGATCTTGGCTGTTTGGGGGCGCCTGTTTCGAGCAGGTGGAGTCGCTCCCCCTTAGGACGCACTGTTCCAAACAGTCGCACTAAGCAGAGGTCCAGGGCCAGACCGCCCCCCCTTACCCCCCCTTTCCGCCCAATGTCGAAACTCCGAATAAAAAAACGAGCACCAGGTCCAGCCCTGTGTCAGCGTGCATAAGACCCGTTTCTTCTCGTCGCGCAGATGGCCTCGGGAGGGGCCAGTTGTGCGGGAGAGCCGGACGAGGAGCCCCCTCGAGAGACGAGCCGCGGATGGGGCACCTCGCCGCTGTCCGCACCCACAACGGGATTCCTCCGATCCGACTCGATTCGACTTCGATGGCTTCCGATTCCGATTCGATTCGATTTGGGATTCCGATTTGGGCTCCGGTTTTCCATCGGAGGCACACTAACTAGCCTCCCGATTTCCGCCGAATCGACTTTCCCCGACTCGGCTGCCGATTTCCGCCGATCCGATCCATCTCGATCGCCGACCGGATCAAGGCAACGTGGATCAGAGGCGAGTCCCGCTTCCGTGCAGAATCGGCGCACTATTTCGCCAAATCTGGCGGCATGGACTCCATATTGTGCTGGCCTCCGGCCAGCACCGCCGATCTTGGGCGCTCCGGCTAATGAGGATGGTGATGATGATGATGATGATGATGATGATGATGATGATGATGATGATGATGATGATGATGATGATAATCATCATCACACCACCATCATCATTATCATCATCATCATCATCATCATCATCATCATCATCATCATCATCATCATCATCATCATCATCATCATCATCATCATCATCATCATCATCATCATCATCATCATGAGCAGCAGCATCATCATCATCATCATTCGGGCGGCACTTTCTCCGATCCGTGGATCTGGCGCCCTCTCGACAAATCCAGGGGCCACTGATCCATGCTCGCGTGCGCCCGAGCAGGGGCACTCTCTCTGGGGAGCCTCGTTGGCAGACTCCTTTTCCGTCCTCCTCTTCCTCCTCTCCTCCTCCTCCTCCTCCTCCTCCTCCTCCTCCTCCTCCTCCTCCTCCTACTCCTCCTACTCCTCCTACTCCTCCTCCTCTTCCTCATGAGGAGACCGCCGCAGACTGCCGAAGACCGCCTAGGACCACCGAGGCCACAACAGTGGGACGCCAGCGGCGTGAAGGCGAAAAGAGGAAGGGCGCATCGACGAGACCACCTCCCAGCAAGAACCCTGCTGCGCTCCGAGTAGGAGGGAAGGCGAGGAGCAGGAGGAGGAAGATCGCGACCCCCTCTCCGGTGCCTTCCTCGCCCTCTTCTGGCGAGAGTTCGCGCGCGCTACAGATCGAGGGTGTCCCCCTTGATGGGCTGCTGGTGTGTCGTGCGGGCGGTGCTCGTCGTCGTCGCCGCCTCCGTCGTCGTCGCATCTGTAACGTGTGGCGGGGCAGCAGACGAGATTTTGTTGGCAACCGGGAGGGCGGGGAGGAGCCGAACGTCGGCGGCGAGCGAGGGTTCAAGGTCCGAGGTTTTTCTCACGTTTTCGTCGGCTCTCGGTGGTTTTCCGGCCTCGGGATGTTTTCCAGCAGTTGCGCCTCGCCGAAGGCGTTCCTGGGGTGCTCGGATCGTCCCAAACGGCCGCCGGAGACCCGAGATTAACCCAAAAAACAAAATCGGCGGCGAGCGAGGAGGGGAAGTGAGAAGGAGAAGGCCTTCTCAGAAGGCAGCGGGGCTTCTCGGATGCCCTCGCGCCTTCTGAGAGTGTTTCTGAGTCTTCGGGGAAGGCTCAGGAAGCTTCTCGGAAGGCCGGGGGACTTCCGAGCCTGCTGAGTAGGCCCGCCCCTTGTCACTCCCCCCCCGCGCTCGCCGCCAAGAAGGAGCAGGAGACAGTGGATGATGAGGTGGAGGAGGAGAACGAGGAGGAGGAGGAGGAGGAGGAGGAGGAGGAGGAGGAGGAGGAGGAGGAGGAGGAGGAGGAGGAGGAGGAGGGGGGGAGGTGCAGGGGAAGAACGAGAAGCAGGGGACGCGTAGACCCTCGATCACCCGCTCATCGCGCTGCGAGGCCCGACGGCCCCCCAGACCCAGGAGCGCGCGGCCTCGCTATCGGAGGCGCACCGCCGATGGATCGGCGATGTGTCGCCGATAGCTTCCCCCCATTCGAGTCGGTGGTTGATAGACCTCCTACCCTGACACGTCGATTAGCGAATCGGCCGGTTTCGGTTCGCCAGGGGGCCTCGCGGCCGTCGTTCCTGCGGGTCCAGGTCCGTCGGTGTCGATGCTGGGCCGTGTTCATTCAAGGGTAGTTTACTAACGGGAGGTTTGTCCACCGCCGACGGAAGGCATCCCGGGGCTGGACAGCCGACGAGGGCCAGCGACCGAAAGTCTCGAGTTTCGAAACTTCGATGTCCCTCACGTTCCCCGTCTGAACCTCCCTGAAATCCGACGTTGTGGAACAAAAATGCAACATCGTGAAAAATCACGACCGGGGCCCTGGACCCCATCTTTCTGCGCGTCATTTTGCGGGCCAGATAACGATCTGTGAGGGTCCTGGGGCCCGAAACCGGGCGCAAACGTCCGCTGTGAAGAAAATGCAAGGCCAGGATCCCCAGACATGTGACGTCCTGATTTTTTCAATACGGGGTCCCTGGAAGTCCAAATCCTTTCCCCGGGACTGACTCGTTTTTCATCCTGAGTCGTTTTCTAACGGTCCCGAGGCCCGGCGAGGGCCCCCCGAAGCCGAAATCGGCCAAAAAATTCCCGTCCAGATTTTTGCACGACGCGATCACGTCTGAATGTGATGGCCTCCCCCCAAGACTCGGGAGGGGGGTGGCCTCGGCCAGGGGTTCGCCCGCCCCCTCCCGGCCACGCGCAGAGGTGGGTAGGGGGAAGGGGGAAGGCTTCTTAGAAACGCCCCTGCTTCTTAGAAGGCGCGGGCCTTGTCTGCAGATGTAAGGCCCTCGCCTTCTAAGAAGCAGCCTCCTTCTAAGAAGCCTTCTCCCTTCCCCTACGATAGGTTTGCGTCGTGTCGACCGGCGGCGACCACGCTAGCGGCGTTCAAGGTTGAACGCCGACGGCGGCCCAAAATCGGTCGATGTTGAACGATCGGACGTTGCGGAGACGGCCGATCGTTCAAGGTTGAACGATCCAGCGCGGTGTCGGGAACCAACGCTGGGGTCGGCACGACACGGACCTGCCGTACCCTTCTGTGCGCGCCGCCCCCCCCCCCGAACCCCAG